TTTTGTATCAGTAATTGCTCCTGAACTGCTTGACAGAATTTTGTGAAACTTTCACATAATTTTGTATCTTCCACATCTTCATATCCCGTTATTACAATTCATCGAAAAAAAAATCACAATTTTAACCATATAATTCTAATTTGCACCTTTAATTATTTTTTTTAGGTCAGACTAATCTCTGAGGCTCCTTGTACCTAAGCACAGATTTTGCCATTGCTTTCTTTGTGGTATTCATTTAATATCTGCAACTCCTTTAGGCCCATTATTACAGTTTATTCAAACATGTTCAAAATCTTAACCATGTAATCCTATTGTGCATCTACATTTTTGTACTTTGTTTAGAACATTGTCATGGTTTCCTTCAGCAATCATGTGAACATTATAGTACACATTTATATCAAAGTTGATGAAATTTTCTATAAAAAATTTTCACCATTTAATGCCATTTTGATTGCAACTTTTTTTTGGCTTTTGATTCTTAATTATTTTTGTGGTTTCTCCTAACCAAAACATAGACTTGTCAAGAAGTAGGAGGTTATAATTTTGTAAGCGTTGTTCACATTTCGTTTAATACACTGTGCATTCATTTTATATTCGTGATGTACTAATTTTCCTTCATTTCGTAGAAACAGGTGAACAATGAATTGTAGTAATCTACAAAATAGACATTTTTCTTAAGACTTTAGTAAAGAATTTCTTAAAGCAACGAAATCAACTGTGTACGAAAATAAAATTTAAACTCAATCCACAAAAATCAGTACCCACGAAAATAAATAAATCCATACTTAGTTTAATCTTGAGAACTTTTCACATTGTATTTCAAATTGAAAAAAAACAACTTATAGCCTTTTTCATTTTTAATCATTGTATGAAATTCTATCTCATATCAAATATTTCAATATCGGCATGTTTATGGCTTCATACTGCTATCACAACAATAGGTTATACAATAAGGAGTCCAGATTATATCATACAATTCATTATCAATGAAATAAACATTACTTTTAGAGAGTTGATTTAAAGTATTTTACTTATGTTTTGCAATACAGTAGCTTCTTATTGGATCATACATCCTCCTTTTAGTTAGCCCTGTAGTCAGCACTTTTGTGACTGACATGCATTATCATTGATACGGTCATAGATATAAATTATCTGTTTATAAGATTTGACTTTTTGAAATACTAAGGATTGTTTACCTCAGGAAGAGATTACCATAGCTGTATTTCGTCAAACGGAATTGTTGGTCCCCAATGCTCTTCAACTTCGTTCTTTATTTTGCCCTTTTAATCTTTTTTTATTTGAGTGTCACTGATGAGTCTTTTGTAGACAAAACGCGCGTCTGATGTAGAAAAGGAGTAGGGGCATTAAGGCCCGGTTTTGGCCCAAGAAAATAAAATGTTTGACAATTATTTCAAATTGGCACATAATGTTTGGAAATGCATAGAGTGAAGAAATATAAATGAAAAACATTAGATTGTTTATATGATGACGTCACAGTTACGTCATAATATGTACCGTTTTCATGAAAAAGATGAAAAATGCAGAAGTTGTGCAATTTCCATCGTTATTTCCATTACGGAAACATCGTGCGCAGCCAAGAAACAACAAAATAATTTAATTGTGTCTTCGAGTCTCGGGTCCAATACAGCTAACCTCGAATCTATCACAGGGCCAATACAGAAACAGCCAGTTAATAACACTATATAATTAAACAAGAATACAAAAAATATAAGTATCAAATTTTTCCAATACCCGTGCCGTTAAAAAATAATGCAATAAAATAATTGATATATGCAGATTTGTTAATCTTTGTCCAACAAAATATATTTTTATTAAGAAAACTAATCAGTAGATGGCAAACTAGAAGTTACCTATATTGAGACAATTATTATTTTGTTTTCCGAAAATCTCTGTAAAATCACATGCACATCGGTATATCACGATCTAAAAAATATCTTAGTTTTAATCACAAAAGAGCAGTAGGAATTAAGAAATATATAAATGCATGGATGCTGATTAATCAAACAAAGCTGCACTTGAACAAAAAATTGTAGTAATCCGTGCCAATTTTATTCTAAACAAATGTAGGTTTGCATGGTCCAATTTATAAATGATACAAAATAAAAAAATATAACAAATGTACCAAACTCCAAAGCAAATTAAAAAGAATGAAAGTCAATAAAAACTGACAAAATCGCTATCAATCAATCGTACAAGTGAAAAGCAACTGCCATGTTTCTGACTTTGTACAGGCATTGTCCGAAGAAAATGGTGGGTTTAACCTGGTTTTATATAGCTAGCTAAACCTCCGACTTGTATGACAGTTGTTTATAGTTCCGTTATATTGACAAAAGTGAGTAAGCAACCCAAACAGACATAATAGGTTAATGTGACAATGAATGGGATCCACCCGTCAAAACTGTGTAAACACACAATCCAGACATTCAACACATGTAATGTAGTCTTAAATTAGCCAATTTAAAATAAATATGCATTGGATCCGAGGTTTGACAGTTTAAGGAAAACGTTTTGGAAAATCCGTATTTTTGCCTTATTCAATTTACAAAAAAACGTTATATACATGTAATGCAAGTTTCATAAATTAAAAAGATAATTGTCTGTATCCGGTCTAGATTTCCTGGTAAACAACTTTGACAAAAAAGTTTAAAAACCGGATACGGGACGAGAGTAAGGACGCCCAGACGCTCCGTGCTTCGATCAATGTAACCACAATATTTGTTTCTCTGCACAATAAAAGCTGACACTATTTGATTCAGAAATTTTAGATTGACTAATTTGCTGAACGTCACAGAAAAAAAAACACGGCTTCATATGAAGCATACATTCATACTTATTATCAAAGTTTAACGTTTTGCAGATCTTTTTAATTGCACATTAACCTGGAATATTAAACTGTACATCAAAAAGTTTTAAAAATGTGGATTTTAACGATGTGGATATAAAATGTATTTTGCAACAACTTTATGCAATTAATTTTTATTTTAATGAAAGTATCAGATTGAAGCATGACGCAAGCCAACTTAAGGAAAAGACTCTTTCCTGTCAAGGTTCTTATGATAAAACTTTAGTCATCCTTGATAAAGATTTACATTGACATTATGATTTTTGTCATTGATACAGAACATCTGTGTCCAAGATGACCACGGATATTTTACACTAATTGTTGACTCCACGATCCCATCACAAAATTGTTTCCGGAATTGTACTTGCCATCAACAACTCGATTCCAGGTATTCAGGGATGTAGTAATATCAGTTAACCGTTCCGGAGGGCTTTCTCGTGCTTTTTCATGGGATGGTATTGCTTCTATGGATTATGAACCGGTTATTTTTTTATCGTTTCATGTTTTTCATAGCCGCGTGGTTTCTTCGTTCACTTTTTCAACAATTTATGTATTCTAATGTTATCACTTTCACCAGGATTATACTCCTACCGTATTGCTGGTCGTGGTGGTCTTAAACCTGCCCAGTGTCCAGTTGGTACAAGCAAAAACAAATCAAACCATTTACAGTAAAAGCTGCTATAAAGGTTACCTCTAGGAGGTTTTGTAAGCCAACCCTCTGTTTGTCCAACAAAAGTAGTATATATTCGTTTGAACCTCAAATCACTTGTCGCCTATCTCATTAGTCCAGTCTTCTCTGGTCCCTACAGTGACTTTTATATACAAGTTTTACTGCACAATATTTTACTATATGCATAATCGGGCATGCACACTTATGTGTACGATTTTCAAAATATTTAATATGTGACAATGTGTAAATTATAAAGCAAGAGGTGTAAGGATAAAATTAAGGTTCTAAAACTAAACAAAATGAAATGTATTTTAACATTATATAAATAGTATTCATTTAATAGTCCATACAAATAACAATTTAAAAATTGTACTACAGTTTGAAAAAAATATGAAATTTCTAATATGATGTTATTGTGCGCATCACAAGAAGGTCATTTGCATTTTAAAAAATAACACTTAGACCTACATAATGAGTTTAGCTGTAATTAATAAGAAGCTATAATTCAATACAAAATAATATTTAAAGCAGATTGAAGCAACATATTTGATGTTAATGGGATGGTGCAAAATAGTTTTTTTCCAGTTTTCACTGAAAGGTTTGAGTGATAAATACTAATAGGTCAATACAATTCAATAAATTACAGTTGACAATCTGACATACTCCAGCATGGAGTCTTAAATGTGTTGTTGTAAAATATTGACTACATTTACACTGCACTGCTCTATATCTATAAAGAGGAGTCATGATCAGATTTAATTACCCCTTAAGCTCCATGTAAATTATTCAAACATTATGTACAAAGTAATTGTAACCTCAACGCAAAATTGTTCTAAAATTATGACTATAGTATTTTTATTTCAATATAAATAACAATTTAAAAAATCTACTTCAGTGCAACAAAATACGTGTCACAAGCATGTCATTCGCAGTTTGAAACTTCGTACTTTATTTGGCATGTCAGATTTTTTATTCAAGAGTCACTAATGAGTCTTTTGTATGCAAAACGCGCGCGTCTGGCCTACAAAATAATTAGCCTAGTAACTTTGGTTAGTTTTTTCTTCTCTTGACTACATATCTAGTCTTGATAGACAAATAAGAATCCACAATTTAATACATAAGAATATTTGATGCAGATGCAGATGACAGCAAAATAGTCGATGCTAACAAGAAAACTCCAAAACAAAAGTGGTACCCAGTTTATCAGTTTTCACCTCAGGGTTTTGATAGATAACTTTAATATGTTTAGAGAAAGTTAATCAATGAAAATTGACAGTCTGATATTGTCTTTCGAACATCACAAAACGCATTGCTATATATGTACATAAACGTAATTTACTCCGGCTATTTACCCACAGACTGGTACCATCCAATATTCTCTTTTTGTCAAATACTATTACTTCTGTGCTCATTTCTTATTTATGTAAATGCAATCACAGAAAATCATCAGAATTCTTGTAAGAAGTGTTAACAATCATCTCTTCTTTTATTCAGTTAAATTAATAAATTAACAAACAATACTGTCTCCATTTAAAACATTTTGGATTAATCATATGATATTGAATCATAAATATTACTCATAAATAGCTGAAGCATTTTATTTGACTAAGATATGCATGATGTAATGTCTTAAAATGTAAGTGTCCTCCTCAAAGTCTGGACGATAACGTTGTCAGTGTTGCATGCGCAAGCTCGGCTACATTACCAGCACATCCCCAGTGCAGGGTTACACCAGCTCCACTATGACCGTAATTGTGTATAACCTGAGAAAGACATTTGTCCAAATAATAATAAATATGATATTAGACATCAAAACAGTATTTTGTTTAGCATTTGTTTCTGAATTCATATTTGTGATACTTTTATGCAATTAGAATTAGATAAAGTAACCTGAATTTATATCTTTAAAAGAATAATCTTGTAAAAATACACATAAAACAATAATAATTTCTGCTGCAGTATATGAAAAAAATTACCATACATCCGGAACTTCCTCTTTGTTCGTCTAGTTCTAATCGTACTTTAGTTCTTCCAGGTCGAAGTCCAACCCAATCACCAATTTTCTGTGCATTCTATACAGTAAAAGACAAAATATTGGTGATTATAATGAATTGAAGAATTTTCTCACAGCTAGTGTAAATATTTTAAGTATTGATCTAGGAATTTTATATCTTACAAAGATCCAAAAATGATGTTCGATGTTTAAGGTCAACAGATAGGCAGACATACTGATATTAGGAAGTCAGTAGCTGTTATATCATATCATATTAACTTAATAATTCAATTTATCTACTGTGATGTGTAAGACGAAGCAAAACAAACAGTTTATCATTCATTAGTTATAAATCGCTTTGCACAAGGTCATGTTTTTCTCTGACTGTTTATGACGTATTTACACTAAATCCATTGGATGTTGGATGTGTACGGATTGATAATTAAGTCTCAGATGCATGATTTTTTTTATTAGTTGCTAGTGGCTTTGAACTAGCTGTCAGTAACTGCGAGTACTCTCAGATCTGTACTTAGTGTCTTTTTGTTGTTTGGATGTACAAGTACCCGGCCACGTCCACTTGTATTTGTAGTATTTGTACTTTTATCTATCTGATGAGTTAAGCCTCTTTCAACTGATTTTTATAGTTCGTTCTTATGTTGTACTGTTACACCACTGTCCCAGGTTAGGGGGAGGGTTGGGATCCCGCTAACATGTTTAACCCCGCCACATTCTGTATGTATGTGCCTGTCCCAAGCCAGGAGCCTGTAATTCAGTGGTTGTCGTTTGTTTATGTGTTACATATTCGTTGTTCGTTCATTTTTTTTGTACATAAATTAGGCCGTTAGTTTTCTCGTTTGAAGTGTTTTACATTGTCATTTCGGGGCCTTTTATAGCTGACTGTGCGGTATGGGCTTTGCTCATTGTTGAAGGCCGTACGGTGACCTATAGTTGTTAATTTCTGTGTCATTTGGTCTCTTGTGGAGAGTTGTCTCATTGGCAATCATACCACATCTTCTTTTTTATATTGTACTATCTTTCAGTAACTACGAGTTATATAATATTCAACTTTATAACGTGCTTTGCGTCTATTGGTTTTCATGTTAGTTTTTCTTTATGTTTCGTACCCATCTAAACAGATAAGTCACTTGCAACTGATTTTTACAGTTTATTGATACGTTGTACTGTTACAGCACTGTCCCAGGCTAGCGGAGGGTTGAACGCTCAAATGTTTAACCGTGTCATATTCTGAATGTGCCTGTCCAAAGTCCAGAGGCTGTAATCTAATGGTTGTCGTTGGTTCGTGTCTGTCATTTTTGTTGTTTTTATCATATCAGGCCGTTATTTTTCTCGTTTGAATTGTCTCATATTTTTCGTGTCGGGGCGTTTTACAGCTGAATATACGATAAGGGTTTTTTTTCGCATTGTTGAAGGCCGTGTGGTGACCCATAATTGCTTATACCGACGTCATTTGCCATCATGCCACATCTCCTTATTTTTGAATGACAAAGTTATACTGTTATCTATGGTGAGTTTATACAATAGCAACCCAGTTCATTTATCATTTACTGAGTGAAAGATTGCAGTTGGTAAAAATTTAAAATATAAGTCTAACAAGGTTTCAGTTTTCAAAGTTGTGTAATTGAGAAGAATGATATTGTGTATTCATTCATGACACAAATTTCAAAAACTAGTTAAACCAACCTTGCTTTAAAGGCTGTTCTTTTCACCTCAAAATAAGGCTTTACACATACGCATCTTGGTGATGGAAGATGTGCTAGTCCGTGTGATTTGTTCTATGGATTTTTACATTTTGAATTTCCTTGTAATATGGTCAATTTTGGAATTATTATGTTGTTTAGTTTACATTCCTGTTACTTAATTTTTGGTCACTCTGAACTTCAAATACAGTGTCAACTACGATCTGATACTATCGAGCAAAGGAACACGTAAACACTATAATTGCATTGTTCTCACGTACATAAAATTGTGAGGTCCTATGCAAATGTTATGTACTCGCATATTCCCTAGTGAGTTGTTATCATTACGTAAATTGCTTTTTACATTAAAATTAAATACTAGTACCATTATCATATTCTAATACCAATCAAACAACAGTAAGGGACCCCTACAATATACCAAACATTAACGAACTGGAGGAATACAACCATGAGCATCACAATTCATCACTAGAGACTATGAATCAAGAGAGGATGGATGCATTTCAAACATGCTTCCAAAATGAACTTTGAGGACTTCAGCAACGACGCATGAGCCAAAAACTAGTTTTTGTACAGGGCTGTTGACGGGCTGATTCTTGCTATAGAGCTATACGGCTATCTTAAGCCAGTAAGACTAATGAAAGTTATATCACCTAACTATCAGGCAACACATTATAAAGAAGCGAGGAGGAAATAACAGATGGCGCTATGATATTCCTACGAAACAGGAGTTATCCAATACATTAATCGTATAAACAATAATTGACAGGAATCACTTATACATAGAAGACACTTGTCTGAATCGACGGTTTTGGAACTTCAATCTGTTTTCGCAAATCAACGGAGTCCTTTCCTGTGTTGTATTAAAGCCAGTACTTGTGTCTACAACGTCCTCGTACAGACACAGAATATTGCTAATTTTTATAACAAATAACATTTGTCATTTGTCCCTTCAAAACAGATATTTAGTGAATAATTTCAAGCAAACCTTTAAACTTGGAACAAGATTAACACAACTTTCCCAAATTCTGTTCTTATCCTTTTGGTTAATATCTGTACTCCAGTTTCCTTCTTGTCCTGTTCCACCGAGAATAACATAATCACGTCTGTAATAATGATATATTTGGTCAAAAGGGCAAATGATACGTTTATTGATTACAGTATATCACAATTGGTTACTGTGATAATACTGGGAAAACATTTAAATGAAAGATTGAAAACTAGTTAAGAAAACATGCATGTATTGTCACATATCAAAAGTACATATAAGTTGGAATTGGAAATGACTGTAAATGCTAATCTTAAAACCTATTATCACCCATCACTTTCCTTTGATTTGACTTAGTTTTACTTTTTTTTTAATGTATATATATTTATTTTTATTTATTGGGGTGGGGGTGAAAGGGCTTCTTAAGATTAAGCATAAATAATGATATGTGGTATGATTGCCAACTATCACCAGAGACCAACGGGACGAAAATGTTAACAATTATAAGGCACTGTATGGCCTTCGATAATGAGATACCAACACCGTATTATAGTAATCAATCAAAAGCCCTGGCATGACAAAATGTGAAACGATTCAAACAAAAAAACTACGCATAATTCATGCTAAGACTTGGAACAGACACATCAAAAATGTGGCAGGGTTTAACATGTTTGCGAGCGATCAACCATCCCCTCACCTGCGAGAGTGGCGTAACGGCACAACATAAAAACAAACTAATAAAATCAGTTGGAAAAAGGCTTTAGTATATTTGTTTTTACCTAATCTCTTGAAATTTGGTGAGCTTGTTATAGGGGAACATTTATGTAAATTACATAAACTCTCATAACAATGAGTAAACGGTTTTGGATTAGAAATATTGTAATAAAATGTAGCACTAGTATGATATTGTGTGCACTTAAAACTTGTTGAAATGAACAAAATTGTTTCTTTTAAAACTTGAGTAGATGAACCATATAATGAATCAGAAAAGGGATTGATGAAATAACCAGTATTCATTTTATTTCGTACATAAAATTGCTAGAATTATCTGAAGTTTTCTCTTTTCATAACATTCATTTCACAAATGATTTCGCATAATTATATTTTCAATACAAGTATAATCTCAAAAATCCAATTGCTTACCCCGGCAGTATATAACGTTCGGTACCCTCAGCACCATCAAAATCAACATAGAAATGTTTAATCCACGGCGCAATTACCTGTAAAAATGTATTTTATAACGGATTTTGTGATAAAGATGTATGAGTCATACATCTGTTCACCTAAATTGGTCAAATTATATAAAATTACGTTTGAAGAGTTTTGATTTGAGAATGACATCCAATTGGTAATTTTTTTATCGTCTGTTCTTCTTACAGTTTTTTCTTAAATAAATTTTGAGTTATTTTATAAAGAAGAAAAGTACATAATGTGTACGAAAGTTTTATATGTTAAGTTAAAATGACAAATCATCATAGCAGAGCTTAGTATCACAGAAATTATTAGAACAGTAAACAGGAGAATAAAAAATAATTCGATCGTCATTCTTGGGACTTTTTCGTCTATATACAAATATTTCTTTTTGTTTTAAAAGTTTTAAGATACCTTAATAATCTGTCCACGAATTGGTTTTACGTTCTGGTCATTCAGCAGCTGATAAGCTCTCACTCCAACACAATTAATAATCAAATCGAATTTATCTGAAATCTAAATGAAATTATGATATTCATTCTAATATTTAGTAACTAAGTGAATATTAGTTTTTTTTCAAGAGTCAATAAAACCACATCTTTACCTCAGAAAAAGACAGTAGTTGTATATTTTTGATTTTTCAAGTACAAATTACATGAACTTAGTCTTAGTATCTTTTTTTATTATTAAATAACCTATTAATCTGCTTCAAATAATTATGATTGAATTATATTACAATATAAAAGCATACAGGACCTCATAGATCGGAACTCTCTTCCTGTCATACAAGTGAGAGGTTTAGCTAGCTATAAAACCAGGTTTAATCCACAATTTTCTACACAAGAAAATGCTTGTACCAAGTCAGGAATATGACAGTTGTTATCTATTCGTGTGATGTGTTTGAGCTTTTGATTTTGCCATTTGCTTAAGGACTTTCCATTTAGAATTGTCCTCGGAGTTCGGTATTTTTGTTATTTTACTACTGCTCTAAATATTTTTAATAATGTGATTACCATATAGCCTCATTCAGAGTCTCAATCTTGATTACATATATATTTTTATGAAAACAACATTCAGTATAATTTTAAATAAACTGACATTTTTGTAGCGAAATATCATGTAACTTTTAAAAATTGATAGAAACAAACTATAGGCTACTTCGTGCACGAGTTCTTGTCATGTAAAATAATACGTATTACCTCATTCACAGAAGAAATTGTGCCAAACTGAACTTTACCTCCTCTCGACTTAAACCTATCAAAAACAATAATAAGTTATACGAAAATGTCTATAAAAGTACATCTAAAAACATGTAAGAAAATGTATCGGAAATATGTGGAATCATGGTTCTTGTATGACAAAATTAAAAACGAAGTCAAAGTTGATTAACAATAATCGCATATCTTTTATTGGAAAACAAAATTGCAACATCTATACAATTTATCAAAATCAAGATTTCTCTAGTAAGGAGTTTGTCGGGGGTGTATTCCATTTGCCATACGACTACAATACTATATGCGGATAGAAATTTTCAGGCATACGAACCAATAGCGTTGGAATCTCGTCACATTCTAAATTGTTTTCTGTAGGCAAAAAAGAATTAACCCTTTAACTTGTCTGTGCGACACTTTACTGTGTTTTTTATTACTACTTTTTTCCCAGTTAAAAAATGTCAAGGATATGGAAACGTTAACGTAATTGAGTTTGACTTTGTTGTGTTGCCTTATTTGGAATAAAAAATATAGTTCTTAGCATTGTTTACTATAAAATAAAACTATGTATTACAACTTTAAATGTTAAGTACCTACTTCTCCATTAACCACGGAAGATATGACTTGACGTCTATCATAATTGAACTGTAAAAAATTCCTCCTCTATAATATAAAAAAAAAACAGTAGAATAAATCATCTACTTTACATGCACCAATCAATATTTGAAATCATTTTATACATTAAGTCTGTGACGTTGTGCAATGCCAAATATAAGTATGGATGGGGTAAAACCGTATGTGTATGGACTGCATAGCAATACATATTTAGTTATGTTTCATTTATTCTATTAATAACAAAATCCAACTAATCATGTTTTTCTCAGACTGTTCGTCTTTACACTAAATTCATTCATAGTGGATGTGTTTTAGTCTTAGATAAGTGATATTCTTATTACTTGTTCTTGGCTTTGGACTAGCTTTTAATAACTGAGATAACTCTCAGAGTTGTACTTTCTGTCTTTATCGTTTGTGGAAGTTGTTTTTTGTGCTTTGTATCAATCTGATGAGTTGGGCCCTTTCAACTGATTCTTATGTTGTGCTGTTACACCAGAGGTCAACTTTCTTAGTCTCCTTTCTTAGTAATGTCGGTTGTTGGCATTATGTGCAGAGTTGTGTAAATGCATACTATAACTATTATACATATTGATCAAAGGACACTCATTCATTATCAAACTGCTACGATATATCACTTATTGTTCATTTGACATCCAGTGCATACTTATTTTTGGGATGAAATCTTCTTTCTTTCTGTTCTAATCGTCTGTAGGCTATTACTTGATCTTTCCAGAATGGGTCCTGTTACAAACATAACATACCATAATCACATACGTTATGCCATTTATGAAACAAATATTTACAGTAGGTATTCAGTCATACACATACTGATCTTTTACTGGTCGAAAGACGAATGTTTGAATCCGTCATATTTTTTTAGTTTGTATGAAAGCAATCCAAGATTTTGGAATTATTAGTTCTGTCCACTTAATTATCAACGCTTTTCTCTTTGTGCAAACGGTTGTGCTTTTTAAAAAATCGCACATTTTATTAATTGGCAAAACGAAATTGACAATATATCATCTTATAAATATGGATAATTGATATAAAATTATTACAATGAATTAAATTCCTATGAAATCCATTTTTGTTATAAACTTAGTAGTATATACAAATATATGCAATACATTGCAATTGTGCTGTAACAGCCATCCGTGATGACATCAACTTCTGTCACGGTTGCAAAGGCTTTAACGAACTCCTAATCTGTACGACTTCATGTACGTTTGTATATGATTTATCAAACCCTAACCTGTATAACATTTTGGCAAGAAGACTTACATTTACAAATAAATATGAAACAAAATACACATTCAAAGACTTTTAAACAATATATCATAAGTTAATAAACAACAGAAACAACAACAAAAGAAATAAAAGAAATGCAGAGTTTATTAAGATGATAAAAGTAAATTCAAATCTAATTGGGCATCAACAATTTTATGCTGTTTTTGTGGGGGTGTAGTTTTATCTCAGTTTTTTTCCAACTTTTATCGAAAACATTCTTCTTCAAAAGCATACAGGAACAATACATAAAAAGGAATTACCAAAAATACTGGACAGTACAAATGACCACATTAACCAAAAACACAGACTCCTCCGAAAAATACGGACATACAAACAAATAAAAACAATAACGTACACTGTACGGTCCAGACTTAGTACAAGCACAAAATGTGATTGAGGTAAACAAGTTTGACGTACTCAAAGACCTCCCGCTTTATGTATTTAGACCGTATGCCGTAAAATTGAAACACACAACTTTTTTTTTTCCATATCAATGTTACTTAAATTTATTTTTTGTAATAATTTTAAATAAAAACACTTATTCAAACATTTATTTAAACACACTTACATACACACATACAAACACATAAATGATGCCGCTTATTGATTAAAAATAAATAATCTTTTTAAAACAGTTATTAGTTGCAAAACAATACAAATACCTGGTCATGGTGTTCAATTGAGAAATCATACCCAGATACAAGCTGGGCACCAAGTTTTCCTGCTTCCTGTGACTGGACCAAATCTAGTAAATAGTCAAATGTCTCCTGACCCCATTTCCTTCAAATTAAAATGCTGCATGTTCATTTTTTTAAATGACATTTTCTCATAAAAATAATTAATGAAATTCTCATTAACAGCAGTATGTGTGATTTTGATGACGTTTATATCATCCTTCTACACATTAGAACATATTATATATTTTTTAAATGGCTCATTACTGCATACAATTTTTAGGCATTTTGGTAAATTTTGAGTATCTACCTATTTTTTCCATTTTTTGTTTTAAAATGTTTTTTTTCTTCATTATTTTACTATGTACAATGATGTATAATAAACCTGAGCTCTTCACTTTGATCAGGGTTGACTAAATGTGGTTCCCAAAAACCAGCAGACCCATCAGAAGTTGTGTATGGAGAAAATGTATCAGCTATAATGGTTATATCGATGCTTGGTATCTTGTCTTGGATTCGAACAGCAGACGACAATCCTATAACCCCAGCTCCAATCACACAGACTTTTCGCCGATTCATATCTAAAACAATATCATATGTAATGTTTCATGTTAGCTGCTAACCTCACATTTCCTACATTAAGGCATACACATCACATAAACTGTTCGTAATGGTCCTACGTCGCATGTGAGAACGTATTAGAGTTATAAAAAATAATTAAACCGTAAAACATAACAGCCTTAACTAAAAGCAAAACAAAACAACCAAAGCAAGACGAAACAGCAAGTAGAACTGTTGTTATCGCTCGCTAATAATATAACCGCATTAAGTATTCAGTAAAAGTGAAGAGCAAGAGATATGAAAATGCATCACACGGTATAACATTTTCAAATTAAATCGTGATAACATTTCAGGAAGCTCTTATTTGTAGCTACCTAGTAAAAAGCGACGAAAATCCATACATGGCCTTTGTGTGCTTGAATATAAAAGGTTAACAGGAAGTTGAGGAAAAATGAATATGAAAACGCATCACACAGTATATCATGCTCACATAAAGCCTGGTATCAAATTTTAGGAAGCTCTCATTTGTAGTTCCCGAGATAAATACGAAGGAAACTGCATGATATGGGATGGACGGACGGGCGGACATACGGACGAACGGACAGAGAGATAGGGGTAAAATTGTAGAACTCCTTCCTTCAGAGCAAATCAAACTGCCCCTTATGACCAATACTCATATTCAAATGGAAGTAAAAATTCCATTTATATTTTCTTGGTTTACTCGCTTGTTTCATCTTATATATTTTATTCTGCTCTTAAACAGATCGAAGTGCCTGTTGTGCAGATTTGTTCTTTCTGTCAAACATTTGTATGTTTATGGCTCCTTTATGGTAGCAGAAATTTAAAAAGAAATGTTACATTATAGCAACATAAGATGTTTGAAGTTTAGATATGAACTAAATTCAATTATAAAATGTTGATTAATAAAAAAATTCTGTAGATTGATAATTTTAAACGCTTTTTATTTATCCTTGACTTACATCACACGATTTCATTGTTCTGTTGAAATACCAGTAAATAAAGCGACACCCAGTATAGGCATGTCAGATAATACTGGTGATAGGTTGAAAATATCAATATCGGTGATGATTGCATAAAGATAAAAATTTAATAAAGATTAAATGATAGAGAATTTGTTACTTTCTTATCTGATTTACACTTGATTTTCACATGATAAAATTTGTTTGTTCATGATATCTGATTTTGAAAGATTACATCTGAAAAGTCACAAGTTTTTTTTTCAGTTATTAAGCAGAAAGCTTCCCTGGTAATTTGGAAAAGTGGTTTATTTCAACCAAAGATACATGTATATAGGTCTCTGTCTCAGCAGATATAATTTAGTTGACAAAAAGAACAATCTGGTAGTTAGACGAAAAGCAACTGCATTTGATTTAGAATGATCAGTACCCGAAGTGGTGGGGGCTCTTACCATGAACCGAGTGGTAGGGTCGAGCCGCTATAATTGGTTACTATTATGATAAGGTCAGTTTAAGGGGAAGGTCAATGATTTGATATGGATATGCATATGTCTTAGCATTGGCACATCTCATTTCCATGGAAATTGCCATTTTAATCTGTTTGTACACAGTTAATTGTTTTTGGTCATGGTACTGTCTGTTTTTATTGGACTTATGGTTTTCGATTGCCTCTTGGTGTCTTCTGGGGTTTTTTACTGATTGTATCGGAAGTTCCTGAAACTACAGAATTAGATTTTATAGTTTTTATTAAAGATATGATTTAAACTTTTGTCGTAAATGCATCAGATATTTGTCCAATCTATTTTAACTCTCAATGAAATAGTGTTATATAGCTATAAGGACGCTATAGGTCTATTTTGCTACATATATATATATATATATGTAAGGACATGTATTTTCGAGTGTATTTTTATTGTTTACTATTCAAAATATATGAAAAGGATTGGGTACTCCTGAGTCACCCTTCCATAAAAAGGATTGAAGCCCCTGGCAACGTATAAGCATGTGTTCCGCCTAATAGAAGTTCCCCTGGAAACTTTGTTATAAACAATGTCATAATATCTGTTCCTGTTGGAACAAATATTCTATACCCTTTATTCCGTAAGGAACATATTCTGTAATATGTGTTCCAATGGAAATAATATTACAGAACATTTCTTGCATTTGGAACTTATATTATGAAGGAACTTCTATTTCGTGACACCCCCACCGACTTCAGTTTTAGTGTATCGACCTGCCTATGTCGTTATAACCATATCTATTACATCTTTAAATCCTTTGTCAAAATATAATCCTACTCGTACATGCCTAACGATGTTAGAGGGCTAAGATATATAAAGATTCCGAAATTGATTTATTGGTGTCAATATGCACACCAATATTATAATACATGTAACTATAATGATAAGCGAACAAAGTAAGTAAGAAAGTAAAACGTCCTAAATGTTAACACACAGCTAACAACTTACCTATAACGGAATATACGTATACGTTTATAAATAGCTGACCTACTTCTTTTTTCTATAGGTGACTGTTTGTGTCATAGCCTTGCTACAAATACCGTTCTTAATGTCTTCCTGTTAACAAAGGTTAGCCCGTAAACATTGATAAGCTTATTGAAAACTATTTAGTGAAACTGTCTTGATACTGATTGTTCTCTGCAAGCGTCAGTAAAATGACAAACATCAAGTTGTAAGAGAAGTTTAAAAAGGAAACAAGAGTAAGAATGAACATGTTATATACAAGTCTATGTGCCATATTGTTACGCAATATAAATGCATAATTTTGAAAAAAATACCACTACATATGGAACTCCACAGCTGTCTTATGTGGAACTCTGATATTACTTTATGTTGTTTTATTATTACTTGATGATATTTTGTCTTTACTTAATATGGTTTTGACATTACGTAATGATGTTTTGATATAACTCAATATGGAACAGTCATTACTTAATGATATTTCGATATTACAAGATATGGTTTCGTATTGACTTGATATAGTTTTGTCATTACTCAATATGGTTTTGTCATTACTCGATGTGGTTTCACCATTATTTAATGTGGTTGTGTCATTAGTCAATGTGGTGTTAACATTACTTGATGTGAATGTGACTTAACGTTATGTAGTTGTTTCATTACATGATGTGGTTTTGTTATTTTGTAATGATGATTTGCCTATTCTTTATATGGTTTTAACATTACGTAATGATGTTTCAAAATTTGACGATTTTACACTACATGATGTGTTTGTTTCATTATTTGATGTGGCCATGTCATTCTTTGATGTGGTTATCCCATTACTTAATGAGGTAAAATCACGTGACCAATTCGGAAAAAAAATATCTTCTATTTTTAAACAGATTTCAATATATCATTTGTTTAATGTGCTTTGGATGGGTATCGCTATCCATTGAGTTTAAGTTCAAATTAAAGTTCGAGTGGTTGTTCAGAGTTATTTGGTATGAAAAAGGGGAATGGCAGACAATAATAAGAAAAAAAGTATTAACAAGTTTACAGTATTTCGGACATAATTGGGATATCCCCAAACCACTTGGTCTTGTTGTTTTTATCCTAAGTTCTCAAACGGAAGCAGTATTTTTGTAATAAATTTGTAAAATATTCCACGGAACCCTGTGTCTTGCCTTATATTACTGCTGTAAGTGTAAAAGCGTCATGTCGATCGGCTGTACATTTATCTATACATTTATCGGTAAAAACAAAATTAAAAAAAAAATGTTTTTCTGCAGATGCTTTTTTTCTTGAAATTGAGGAATAACTCCTATACAAGTTTTAAAACACTTCATGGAGGTTTACAAATTTATCATGTCAAAACAGTTTAATTCGGTTTTATTTAACTAAAACAAAACTGTATGGTTTTCAACAATAAGCAAAACATATACCCTATAGTAAGCTATAAAAGGTCCCGAAATGAAAAATGTAAAATACTAGAAACCTAACGATCTATAGATAGATAGATAGATAGATAGATAGATAAATACTTTATTCTCTAAAAACCAATTACAAGTTTACAAAGAAAGATACAATATAAATAAAGATACAATAGTTGAGGTAAACAAATACAGTATGATATTTTAAAAGTACAAAATTATGATGGCATACATGTTTAGTAACATGTATAATGAAAGGTTAAACTCAAAAGAAATTAAAAAAATAATGGAGATGGAGACACCGACGCCACTATCGACGACGAAATATAGGTTTGTTGTGTCTCACTGCCGCTACATTGATGCCGCAGGCACGACACAAATCATAATACTTGAACTTTATTGTTAAATGAAACACTTCAAATCAACTCACATTAAAGTTACAGGGAAACGGGGGGAGGGGGGCTCGGACTTAGCGACAAAGCATAATTTAGGGCCGTAACTACATTGAGGCAAATGCCTCATGTTGGAACTTTAAAAAAAATAAGTTGAAACAAAAAGTTGTCTTCATATCAAATTGTTTTAACGGCGAGTGTCTTGCAAGCAGCAAGTTCTGTTCACCCTCTGAAGTCGCCCCCTGTTTTTTCGGGATCCATGTCACATGATGTTTTTCATTTATTTAAGCTGTTTATTCCCGTAACATTTGTATGTTGTGGACGTTCGTTCTCTGCTTTGCGTAGATTTAAGACTAGGGAAAGATCTATGATGACGGGTGGACGGTTCTGTGGTTTGGCAATGTTGCATGTCCACCGATGTCCAGATATTGTTCGAGAGAATGTTTTTTGAGAAGATACGATGCTACCGGACATAGAAAAATTGGTCTTTTTTTTCATGAAAAATTAAACTTTATATCAAAGAATACAAAACTAACTCTTTTTCTGTATATAAAACAAAAAAGCTGAAATGCGTTAAATTAAGTGAGACAAGAATCTCCCGGTATCAAATCATTTAAAAAGAAAAATAATGTATTGCCAAATGACCTTTTACATTGAAGGGCTAAACTTGCATTAAGCCATGTTCAGGCCCTGAAATAGAAAATAAAGGGATATGGAGTAAATGTGCATGGGACAAAATCGCACACAATACATAGAAAAAATACAAATTATCAATGAACAGGGTTTGTATTCCTGTTCTTCATCTTGACAATCGCTGGAGGGTCTTCAACAATGAACGAATCATTCATACCCTACAACAAGGTCAAAACGGCCCCTAGCGTCTTCTTTTAAAGCGGTACTTAAAGTATTGTACTGTGAATAAATGTCAAAGTCACAAAAACATCACACCAAAGTCTAAACACAATACAAGACCTGAACATAGATCCGACATTAATCAGGCGGTATAAAATGTAGCAATGTCTAAATACAGTTTTCCTTAGTGTACCCTTTTATCCGAGTTAGGAACTACATCAAGTTGTAATTGAAATGAATTCATATAGTTAAATCAATGATAATCAGCCCCCTCTTAACTTGATTAAAAAAAAACATAATGGACAGATATATGTGAATTACGATTTTATCCTACATATCGGTCTTTTGATGTTGTCCCTAAAAACTAAGTCTTACAATGAATCTATATACTTTACTTTGAGACCAGAATATTGTCGAAAAAATGATTAAAACAAAACTTGCGTTTCAGATTAAGGAAGGGTCCGGGAAACGCTCAGAATACACGATTTTGCGTCATTTTTTTTTTCAGAGCCATGAGCGGCTCCCAGACCTCTCGACGAAATTTTTTTCGCCTCGCTCCGCGAATATATTTTGCCTCATTTTAAAAGGGGTTAGTTACGGCCCTGAAAAATACTATAAAATAAGAATTCTCCGAATTTTTTTTAGCGAACTTATATGAATATCAATCTTTTATTTGTAATCAATTGAATTCCCTGATCTACCTCGCACTAATTGAAAAATAAACTTTTTGGAATATCTGGTTCACATGTGACGACGGACATGTTCCAGTGGTCGTAACCATAATACCGTCATCTTTTCCTTGAATGTGAACTACCAAATAAAACCAAATCACTGGGTTTGTACTTTCTCGAATAACACGACGGGTGCCTTTCTGGAGCATCCGAGATCACCCCAATGGATTTATATTACCCAGTCATACCGATCTATTGAGTCAGCCAAATGAAACTGTTTTGTATGCCACCGCAACTGAAAGTTGGGGGGTATATTGTTTTACCCCTGTCCGTCCGTCCGTCCGTCTGACCGTCCCATTATGGATATATAGTTATTCCGCATAACTCCTCCTACAGTTTGAATCCTAGGAAGTTTTCTCTTTACTGTCTGTTTGTACATATATTGAAGGTGTGCATGTGGTCAGGGTTTAATGTTTATAAATATTTGCTCTTTTGGGAGATAGTTGAACTTTTTTTGTAATTTTTTGAGAAATTTACTTGCATAAGAAGAGCGTTTCCAGATAACTCCTCCTACAGTTTTGATGCTAGGAAGTTTTCACTCTGCTGGCTGTTTGTACAATTATTGAAGGTGTGCATGTGGTCAGGGTTTTTATTTTTATTATCTTTTGCTCTTTTGGGAGATAATTGAACTTTTTTGTCATTTTTGGGGTATAAGCGGTTAATTTAAATGAGTTGAGTGCGGGGGCATCACTTTGTCTAGTTTACATTTTTTTTCTCGTTTTGTGCTGTTACACAACTGTAACAGTCCGATGTAAGGTTATGATTTAGCACTCACATACATGTTAAACTCCGCCACGTGCACTTTCTTTATGTACCTGCCCCAAGTCAGGAGCATGAAGTTCAATTGTTGTCGTTGTATAAAGGTGTGTCATTTTTTTTGTAGATTGTTTAAATATAAATAAGACCGTTTGTTTTGTCGTTTGAATTTTTTCACATGGTTCATGGTGGCCTTTTGTAGCTGACTATACGGTGTGTTGAAGGCTGTACGGTTGCCTATATATGATTTCTTACACCCACTGCATTTAAACTCTGATGGATAGTTGTCTCATTGTCAATCACACTACATCTAACTTTATTTCAACTTCTATGTTGCGTTTCGTATACTGTAGCATTGTTTATCTTTTGTACGCATAATCAGGAGCCAGCCCTCTTTTCGGAAGCCCGAGCAAAAGTCCTTGTTCCGCGATAGAAAATTTAATTACGAACTCATATAAGATAGCTCGAATTTCAACTCAAAATCTTAATTAATCTGAATGAGACTTAAATTCGAATCTTACTCAAACTCAAAAAGTGACTCAAATTTAATGTTGTAACTATAGAACTCTACCTTTAAATGTGACTCAAACTCGAAGTCCAACTCGAAACTCAATGCTAACTAAAACTTTAATTCTAATAATGATTTGAATTCGAAATCGAAGACTAACTTAAATTATAACTCAAACAGTAACCCGAACTTTAATCTGAACTCAAATTCGATAGATGGCCACACTAATCCAAGGCACATACAACATGGAAATCTTTCTAAAAATAGAACAGGTTTTTCCGAATTGGTCACGTGATTTTACCTCATCAAGTAATGGATAACCACATCAAAGAATGGCAGAACCACATCAAATAATGAAACAAACACATCATGTAGTGTAAAATCGTCAAATTTT